GCGAAAGTTACGTTAGTTTCACTAGACAATGGTGAACGAGTGGATGTCACGGAAGCCTTCACCATCGCCGACCTGCCAATGCCAATTGGGGAGTTAGCAACGCGCTGGCCGCACCTACGAGATCTACGTTTTGAAGAAGCTGACTCTTGCGAAGTCGATTTGCTAATAGGATGTGACGTGCCAGTGGCACACTGGGTTCTAGACCAGCGACTGGGTGGAAGGAAAGAGCCATACGCCACTCGTACCATCTTCGGGTGGACATTGTTTGGAAAACAGCGATGATGAAATATCAACTGCAGGTTACTCACTGATCCGAAAAGACTCAATGAGGGGTCAAGCAGGTGGTGTGATCCTTTACACGAGTGACCACCTCTCCCAAGCGATTATTCCGTCACTCTCTCTCTCATCCCTTTCATAGACTGCCTATGGGTCCAAATTTCTCCGAACCGCTCTGAGACACTGATTCTAGGAGTAGTCTACCGCTCAGCCTCATGTTGTGAGCTAGAATCACAACTTGTGATGGAACAATTGTATAGTTTAAGATCTCTGCGTCCCAGTGCCTATCTTCTGATAACTGGAGACTTCAACACTCCGGAAATAGATTGACGCAAACTTCACGCCCCGGATAGTATATTTCGAAGGCTAGTAGTCGACCTGGTTACAGAGCTGTCATGGTCTCAGCACGTTACACGCCCAACCTGGTTCAGAAACGGGAAATCCCCTTCTTTGCTACTGCGATAAAAGCAAAACAGAACCCGCAGAGGTTCTATGCTTACGTCCAAACTAAAAAGGCATCAAGAGAGAAGATCGGAACGTTAGAAAGCACTGATGGACATCTTGCCCAAAGTGAGGAGGACAAAGCAAATACCCTTCTGGCTTTCTTTAGGGGAGTGTACTGCCAGCCACCACCGTTGGTTAGGACAAATTATTTCAGTGTGACATCACAGCTGACAGAAATAACTGTGCATATGACTGCATACCTTGTAGGGTATGACCTACTTACGCCAGCTCAACATAGCTATATGAAGAGGAAGTCTTGTCTATCAAATCTGCTTGCCTTCCTCGATGAGATCACACGACGCTTAGACGAGGGACAGCATGTCGAGGTCGGTTACCTGGACTTTAGCAAAGCCTTTGACTCGGTAAGTTATCAGAGTTTAGACCACAAAAATACAATTCTTAGGAATTCAGGGGAAAGTTAGAAAGTCGGTACACTGCTTTATTACTAACCGCACCTTCCTGGTCAAGGTTGGTATGCACTTATCGGTGCCGGCCAACATGACTAGCGGTGTCCCCCAGGGTTCTGTGCTAGGCCCACTGCTATTCCTGATGTTCGTCAACGACCTACCAAGGGGAATCAACAACCCGTGCTTCATGTTCGCGGACGACTTCAAGGTGGCTGAAGCGAAAGTACATCAGGACCTGCAGGATCTTCCGCTCAACCTAGCTGTGTCAGCTTCTAACAGTAGAAGCTGAACTTGACATACAGTACGATATTCAGCTTAAGAGGGGGCGAGAAGTTAAGGATCTGGGAGTAATTATACCACACGACTTCTCACCCTCTCAACAATGTCAGAGGGCAGCCAACATAGCTCGAAGGGAACTCTTTCGCGTACACTCCACGATTACGTGTAGGAGACCCGAGGTTCTCGTCCCTCTGTACAAAGCTATAGTTAGGGCACACTTCAAATATTGTGTTCAGGCATGAGCACCCTACTTTCGGAAAGACACCGAATGTCTAGAAATGGTGCAACGTCTGGCTACAATAATGATGGTGGGATAGAGATGTAAGAGCTACGAGCAGAGACTCAAGGACCTTAATCTGTTCTCCCTGGAAATAAGGTGAATCAAGGGGGATCTGATAGGAGTCTTCAAGACCACGAGCGGTCTCTCCGGACTCAAGTCTGATGATATGTTCCAATGCATCCGCTCAAGTGGCACTAGGGGACATAGTTCAAGGCTGCAACGTAGTCTTGTAAGACTGGACATTCGAGCCAAGTTCTTCACAAGTCGCCTAATACCTTACTGGAATAGTCTGCCAGATAAGGTGGTAAGTTGCTCGAACGTCATTGCCTTTAAGAGGGCATTAGATGACTGTTGGTCTTCTACCTTCCCTGACGCAGTTTGATGGTAAGTACCTATTATTCCTGAGCGCCATTGCCCAGCATGTGATACTGCACCTTACTTTCTGCCTTTGAGACATAACTTATTGACTCACAGTATTGGAAGCCACAAGAACAGCCAACAACACATCAATCTGGACGCAAGATTTGACCTGGATGCTTCTCATCCGGTGCAAACTGAGCTCATCTGAACTGCTGGACATTGTTTTAAAAGGTTGTGATCACTTCACGCACAAAATTCAACAGCATTGCCCTGTGGGCAAGAGTGACCACATTGTTCTGTCTTTCGATGTAATAGTCAACAACCTGAGACATTTCCTCCAAGCCCAAACACCAAAAACCAAATAGCTAAGTGATATAGACCTCTTGGGTAGCACAATATAACAGTATATCCGTCCAGAGGACTATCTGCTGACGTCCCGCGTCCATAAATCCTCCTTAAGCAAGCACCCCTTACCGAGTGATATCCGTCAGCTTTTAGTAGAACGTTCGCGGTTCTTTGCTACATACAACTTGACGGGTCTGGCGGAAGATGCGAATGGCTCTATTCACATTCGCAATTTATGCAACGCAAGGATCCAAGAGTATCAAAGAAACGGCATTATAGCTAGGGCACGTGTAAATCGGTCAGTCATGTACAAATTTATGCGACGAACCCGGCAAAACACCCCATCCACCTTTGCTTTATCTAAACCCGACGGTACACCAGCCACTTCATCCACAGAATTGGCGGAAATGTTCCGATCCCATTTCGATCAAATTTTTAACATCCTCTCTCCAGTCAGTCATCCAAATCTCCATCCGGTTACCTACTGATTTCCTTTAGATCACGTTGTCTTAACAGCCTCAGAAGTGGAAGAAGAACTCAGACGCGTGAACTCCTTCAACTCGATGGGTCAGAAAGGCATCCACTTGCGTATACTGAAAGAATCGGCGGACGTGTTGGCTGCTACATATGCCCAACTCTTTCATAAGTGCTTGGGCACAGAAACCCTTCCACAGCAGTGGAAGAGAGCAACTGTTATTCCTGTCTATAAGAAAGGTAATCGACACTTGCCTACTTGTTACGGGCCTATCAGCCTAACCAGCATTCCCAGTAAGATCTTCGAGCGCCTCCTTAAACGGCGTATTCCAAGGCATCTAACTGAGAACGATTTGGTAGACGCTCCCAACACGGCTTCCTACCAAACAAATCATGCATCTCCAATAAGCCGACCGTAATGGATAGCTTAACTCGTGCCTATGACGAATGTCTTACTTCACACGCAATCTTTATATACTTTGCCAAAGCCTTCTACAGAGTGCCACACATTCCTCTCCTGCACAAACTAGAGAGTTATGGCATCACTGGCTGATTGCTTTCCTTACTTACTAGCCCTCTGTCGAACCGCTCCTTCACGGTTCGAATAGGCACATCCGTTTCTTCACCTTCTCCGGTCGTAAAAGGAGTCCTACAGGGCTCCATACTAGGTCCAATCATATTTCTGATTTATAATAATGATCTCCCTAAATATTTCCCTGTAGAGATTGCCATGTACACGGATGATGTCCCTACCTGGGGAACAAACGCTTCTAACGCGCAGTCGGCGATTGACCAAACCAAAAATTGGTCAGTCGACTGGAGCTTATGAATCAATGACGAAAAATGTGCAGGCGCGTTTTTTGGTAACTCTCCTGGTCAGCCTTTCTGGAGAAACAGTTCGACCCGGATTCAACTGTCGGATCAGTACAAGATTATTGGTTTCTGGCTGAATAGCAATCTTTCTTTTACTTCCCACAACCAAAAAGCCAGTTAAACCGCCTTTTGTACCTAAAACCTTGTTAAACGGTCTTTGCGTATAACATACATACGCCCGCATTTAGAATATAACAGCCAAATTGTACATTCTGGTCTCATTCGCGACCGCGACCTTCTAGAACGTGTGCACCGAAGGGCCACGAAACTAGTACATGGTTTGTTGGAAATCCCTTATCCTATCCGGCTGCAACAACCGAATCTACATCTCTTAGATATACGAAGTATCAGAGGGGATCTTTTTCTTCTGTATAATCTAATCTCATCAGGCCAAGTTAACCGTTTTTTACACGATCTAACCTGGAACATTTACGGGGACAAGCAAAAAATCCTCAAACACTTTCTCAGAAACTTCATTTGCTCCAACATCTTTACGCACAGGGTCATCTCAGAATGGAACCAACTTCGACTAGAGATTGTGAACTCCTCCTCCAAAAAGATCTTCAAAACCCTGCTAGATTCACATATAGGGCTTACTCTTCCCCATATCTAGTTGGCCACCATCTTCCAAAGGACACCATACTTTCTCCCGGTTGTCCCTGTTACGTCTTCCTCTCAAATCCTCCTTTTCGTACTCTACATTTTCCGGATGCACGCATTCCTAACCCAGCTGCACCATATTGAAACCAGCTCCATTTTCTATCAACATCCGTTTCAGCTCATGCACCGAACTGCAGAAAAGAGGACAGATAGAGAACCGAGAATATTGAGCGCAAGAGTCGAACCCGAGTACTACTTCAATACCTCAAGACTTCAAGCTCTACGTGATCATCAAATCACACACCAGATGCACCTCCACTCTACGCTGGTGACTAGCATCAGTACAGGTTCATTTTGCAACCAGTCCTGTATAATTGGTAACTATTAGGACATGGTTACATAACCATGGTATACTTATCAGAATTATCAAGGTTCTGATATCAAGTAGCGATGTGACTTCTTGAAAAATACAAAAGATAGGCTACCGTTAATCGTTTTCTTCTAACACAAGGACCCTCATCTACCGGGCATAATCAAGTGTACCGTCGAGAGTCAGCACGTATCGCTTTAGTAATCTTCCAGCGAAAGATTCTTCATTGGATATAGTGACTTCGACATTTGCAGAATTAAGTTTCGCTTTATTATCATGCTTTTAATGAGCTCGAAAAGACCTCACATACACAATTCCCCACGGTGAGCTCTGTATTGCACGCTTTCCTTGCATCAATCAAATTTGTTTCAGGTTTCCGCTGCCGTTACTAAAATAACAGCTAAGGCATAGCCAAAATTACTCTCAAAATTTCGTAAGTTTCACAATATATCATTTCTACAATCAAAATCTTTGGTTTTGTTTATTTCAGTTCA